TCTATCTATCTATCTATCTATCTATCTATCTATCTATCTATCTATCTCTGTGTCTCTGGTGGCACAGAATGAAGAGAGTCAGTGCACACCCTGCCCTGCTCCCCCCCTCTCTCTTCAGTTTCTTGGAATAAAACATATAGGCGCTGCATTTTTCTCCACCACTGCATAATATTCTTCAGGAGACACGTGAGACACAACTCTCAGGCCCTGCTTTGACTGACAGCTGTAGCTCTGTCCTCTTTCGTCATCAGTTTGATGTCAATAAAATGAATCTGTTTGGCCCTTTTTGCTCCCACTGTGTCAGGGAAGAGTTTACAATGGTGGGAGTGAATGGATGAGTGTTCTCCGGAGAAGAGCCATTTTTTCCCCCACCATCATGACCGCCTTTGACTTTTCGGACGTGGAGGCTTTTCTGGACAGCCACCCGGATCTGTTCGAGGAGTATCTGGTCCGGAGGGCGAAATGCGACCAGGTGAGCAGGTGGCTGAAGGAGCACCAGCCGTCCAAAGTGTCCGCAGCAGCCGTGGAGAAGCGCGGCGCCGCCGCCGGCGCGGCTGAGCCGCTCTGGCCGAGCGGCGGTGACGCGCTCCGGCGCAGGTCCTCTCACATGGAGCTGCGCAGGAGCTTCGCCCGCTCCAAAGCCACCACCGCGCACCGCACATACGACGAGCACGTGAGTCTGAGCGAGCACGACGAGTCCCAATCCAGCATGAGGCGCCGCGCGCTCCTGCGTAAAGCCAGCTCGCTGCCTCCGACCACCGCGCACATCCTGAGCGCACTGCTGGAGTCCAGGGTCAACGTGCCACAGTACGCGTCCAGCGCCATCGACTACAAGTACAGGCTGAAAGAAACCAACGAGCGGGAGTTCTTCCTGGAGCTGGTGAAGGACATCTCCAACGAGCTGGATCTGACCAACCTGAGCTACAAGATCCTGATCAACGTGTGCATCCTGGTGGACGCGGACAGGTGCTCGCTGTTCCTCGTCGAGGGACCCGCTCATAAGAGGACGCTGGTGTCCAAGTTCTTTGATGTGCACTCAGGGACCACGGTCAGACCTTCATCCAGCACTCTGAACTCCAATGAAGTGCAGGTGCCGTGGGGGAAAGGCATCATTGGTTATGTGGCAGAGCACGGAGAGACCGTGAACATCTCAAACGCATATGAGGTAACAGAATCCTTTCACTGAAACTGTAAAATACTGAACAAGAACAACACTTTAAAAAAAAAATCAGTTTTGTGATGTCAAACATGATTGTTGAGTGAAGCTTTCCAAACTTTAAAAAGTCTAATTTAGACTCAGTTCTTGAGGAAAGCAGTTATTTTAGCCTCACACCATCATCTTTGGTCCGCTGGACTGTCTGAAGCAATGGGATGATGTGGATCCCTGCTGGATGGACTTTAACTATAAAACCAAACCTGTATCTTTTTAATACACAAATCCAATTTCCTTATAGAAGTTAAACATGCCAAGCTTATTTTATAGTATGGATACACACCGAGCAATGACTAATAGCTAAAACCACATCATCAGTTCACTACTGCAAACATCCATGGCTGATAAAGTGCAACAAAACTCTACTGCTGTTGTAACAAGAGGCAAGTAAGACATTTTGAAAATATTGTAATTTGGAATCACTTCAGAGGTCAGACTTCCTTCTAACATACAGCTAAAACTAAAATCTAGGTCTTAGAAAATCAAGGGCTGAGAAAAAGTAGCAATTTTTTTTGCCCATCTTTTCTTTGGACCCCCAGAATACCTATCTGCTTTCGACTGGTCGAATATTCTTTTCTGCTGGGAGAATTTCTATCATAAAAGCAAAATTATTGTCAGTATATGTCACATTGACCCCATGTAACAAACTTTACAGTAATTGTTTGCATAAATGACTGCAACACGGTAAAAAAAAAGCAATAATGAGACGATCCCTGGAGTTTTACTTTTGATGCAATGATTATTCTAAACGTTAATCGTCTAACAATGCTCATGCTGTACATAAACAGGAACTGCAGAGATTCAGTTTCTGATGTGATGTTTTAATTTGTTTATAACGCTAACAGTGTTTTTGTTACTATCATTTTATTACTTGCTGCTGCTTTAATAAAACTGAAGTTAAGTTTAATTGCAGCATCCTTTTCTTTAGCTGCTACAAAATATGAAAAGCATTGACATGTATTTGCTGTACTTTGCAGAAATGCCAGATATTATTGTATTTGTACACGAGGTTTGCCCTCTGTACAATGTACCATCAGTCATTTTTAAAATTGCATCATGCGCAATAATTTGACCACTTCATTGCATGGTTAAATTATTTTGTTTACCAAACACATTTAAGACATACATGTACATGTACACTACTACACACAAGTCTTTTTTGCAGACTGTTCTGTGCAGATGCCAGGTGCCACATGCTTCAAATGAAGGCGTTGCTCTGAAGGACATGTGTTTTCAACCATATGTTAGAGTATTTTAAATAAAAAATGTGTTAAAGGCTATATATAATAAGGTGCTATTGAAGGAAATTCTGAGCCACTTTAGAATGCAAAGTGTGTACAGTAATTTTCCTTTAAATAGATTAATAGAATAATTGTAATCTACTGGCTTAATGCTTGAACATTGCCCATCTGGCAACACTGGTACTTTGTTTTAATGTAAGATTTTGTGATGATGAGTAATAAATGACCAACGTGTGTTTTATTCAATTCCAGGACCACCGCTTCAGTGATGAAATAGACAAGTTAACTGGCTACAAGACTCAGAGCATCCTTTGCATGGCCATCTGCAACAGTGATGGAGAAGTCATCGGTGTTGTTCAAGCTATTAACAAGAACCCAATGGGCACCCCGTTTACAGAGGATGACGAGAAGGTGAAGCTCATGCTAACAGAAACTGCAGAAATCATTTATTATTTGTTCTGTTACTTCTGTGAATTGTATTATAGGAGCATTTTAGATAAGGGTGTTCAAGCTGAAGACATGCTGGAGCTCTGAGGCTTTCTAATGGCTGTGGAGAGGAGCAAATTGTTCATTCAGAAGCAAAATACCAGAAAAATTAAGAGAAAAGGTCAAGCTTTTTACTCAGGCATGGAGCAGTAAATATGTCTGCTTGTGCACCGCATACACAAACGTCTCGAGTTAATGCATCCTCAGTTGTTCCCCTGAAATGGGTTTGTAGAAAGTGCTTGTATTATAGCTCCATTTGGGGATTCACAGCTTATAAATGGTATTTCACACTTGCAGTTTGCTGTTTTATTCTCCCAGTATGCTGCTGCTGAGCCTATAAAATGTAATGCACCCAACAGATTTGAAGTGTTGGCTTCTTTTTTAGTGGAGAAGTCTGACATCAACAGTGCTCATCTTTATTGAAGAAGTAAAAAAGCTCCGGAAAGAGATGCCTGTATATGCAGTTTTTTATACTTTTGCCAGAATCTAAATGCACCAAGTTTCAACTGCGTGTCCACAAGGGGGCATAGTAAAGTTATGGAAGATAATTATATGTGATTACATACATTTTGTCTTGTCACTTAAACATGAAAATATATATAGTTCTCTTTTAGTCGTTTTTAATGTGAACAGAAACCTTTGACAATGAAAACAGATCATCTTTAAGTAAAGGAATTACACGGCAACTTAAAAAAGGAGGAAATCTTGATAAACACCAGCATGTTCTTACATTTTAGGGCCCTGTCTCACCACGTCTCCCTCTCTGAATCGATGCTTCATTAACAGAGAATCTATACGAGGGACATTTGTGCTGAGATGAAGCTGACTCCGTCGTGACTTCTTCCTGACATCATCACTCACAACCTAATGCTCCTCTTACCAACGTTAAACCCTGTAACTTCATTAGTGCACATATTTCACCACTTCCTCTTGTTCCTTCGCTCAGGTGCTGCAGATGTATCTGCCGTTTTGTGGAATATCGATCTCCAATGCAAAGCTGTTTTCGGAGTCTCGTAAGGAATATGAAAGGAGCAGGGTGAGGAGTTGTGAGGTGTTGCATCCTATATGAGCTCGTTTGGGTTTTTTTTTGTGTGTGTGGTCCTCGAGGGTTTGGGTGTGATTCTTGTTGCCGCAGGCCTTGCTGGAGGTGGTCAACGACCTGTTTGAAGAGCAGACCGACCTGGAGAAGATTGTGAGGAAGATCATGCAGCGAGCGCTGACGCTGCTGCAGTGCGAACGCTGCTCCGTGCTTCTTCTGGAGGACATCGACTCACCTGTGAGACGCTTGTCTTACTAACTTTCTGAACTTTTCCTACCTCGCGTAATAAACTTGTGGATTCTCACTTATATGAAACATGTGTGAACCATTGCTGTATTTATGTAAACTAAGAGAAGATCTTGATGTAAAATTCTTCTGTAATTGCAACATGCATGCATTGCTATACTTTTTCTTGCAGGTTGTGAAGTTCTCCAAGACGTTTGAGCTCATGTCTCCTTTGTGCAACATGGACAGAGACATCAGGTAAAAAAAGACACTCCAAAATATAATCACTTTAAATGACTGCTAAGATTGCTCCACAGTAGCTCAGCCAATACTTGCTCACAGTAATAACCGAGTGTTGTTTTTGGATGTTATTGCCTAAATTAGCATGGAGAAATTATCCTGTTCCGACTGGCTGATCAATAACAGCATCGCTGAGCTCGTGGCTTCCACAGGACTGCCTGTTAACATCAGTGACGTCTGTCAGGACCCACGCTTTGATGCTGAGGTGTGGACAAACTGGTCTCCGCGAGCCTAAATCAAACCTTTATTTAAAACTCTACGTATTTGAAATCACTGCAGACTTTAACTTCCCGGCCAAACTCTGATTGTCTTTTCTCTATTTAAAGGCAGATCAAGCCTCAGGGTTCCACATCAGGTCAGTGTTGTGTGTCCCCATCTGGAATCGAACTCATCAAATAATTGGTAGGTTGTCCCAGAATTTCATTCCCTGTTAATTTTTTTGGGAAGTTGATTTTGATGTTACAACAAAGGAAATGTGAGTTTTCTTAAAGGGGTCGCCCAAATTCTGAACCGCTTGGACAGGAAGACGTTCAACGATGCAGATCAGAGACTGTTTGAGGTCGGTTCTTCAAGGTTTCTAAAAATATCAGCAGAACTTAATGCACTCAGTACTAAAAATATGAAAATTCAGATCTTTTGAAGTGGAGTTATAGGACATTTCTTTTATGAGCAGTTAATATCTTACCTGTCAGTTTGGAGAATTGAGAATCAGAACTTAAATCTAACTGGACTGATGAGCTAACGGCCAGTCTGAAAGGGGCTAAGACCATTTTTTTGTTGTACTCTGTTAATCCCCAATGGGGAAATTAATTGTCTGCATTTTTTCCCATTGCTCATGTGACACACACAGTGGGCTGCCATCCAAGGCGCCCAAGGAACAACTTACCTTGCTGAGCCCAGAGTGGGGCAAATGAGGGTGGAGGCAGGTGTGGGTGTTTCACCTTTTCTGTTGGGAGTTGAACCAGGCAGTTGACCGGCGACCCACCGATCACAGGCCCACCATAACCTCTGCACCACCACTCCTCCAGTCCACATTAGATCACTTTAAACAATTTTAGTCTCAAACAATTCAAAGCGCTTTATGCAAACACTAATTTTAGGTTCTTTTCACCATCTATTTTACATTTCTGTTATTTACAGATGATTTTGTAGTTGTTTGCAAGTGCAGGTAGCAGCAGCAGCTATGCATCCTGGGACACTTCTGGCTTGAGTATCATAATGCTTTTGCCAAAATAACAGAGTAATGGGAAATATCCTGTGGTTCTAACTCTATACAAAAGAGTTTTCTTGAACTAGCATGCTTTTTTTAAAGAGTGGAGTTGTTTGAAGACAGCAGCAATCCACCTTGGTCTTGGCTCCAATCAGGTTAACCATTAGCTCGTCAGTTAGGTCAGAAACAAACTCTATTACTCCAAACTGAGCTTTGTTCGACAGGTTAAACAGTGATTGTTCACACCCTTTCTACAAAACCCAACTTTAAAAAAATCCGAACCATCTCTTTAAATTTTTACTTTATGTTCAGGCGTTTGTGATATTCTGTGGACTTGGGATCAACAATACGATGATGTACAACCAAGTTAAGAAGACGTGGGCCAAACAGTCAGTGGCGCTGGACGTAAGCATACCCATCTGTCCAGTTTGTTCTTTTTCAATCAGATAGTATGAAAACATCCAATGTGTCATTTTATATGATTTAGAAACTTTTCCTCTTTTATGCATGACATTTTATTAAATAAAGCCAATAAAATAATCTAAAAGGGAATAAAACAGATTGTTATTCGCAGAGACGAGGTAAAACCGTGTTTTGACAAGTACGTGGTGCGTTTTCTGCTCCGCTGCTCCGTTTCTAACCTGATCCATCACATTATCCTCAGAAAACACGGTTCTACATCTCCACAGTATTTGAACTGCTTTCAATAATTCATGGTAAATACATTTGTCAGTCTGCTCACTTTTACCATCAAAGCCTGTTTAATTCCCTGTGAATGTTGCTTTTGTTGTTGTTTTAAAAGCAGCGATGAACTGATCTAATCCTTGTTATGCAAGATGAAAAGTAGGACAGGTCCAAGATTACTGGAAAATGTTCATGTAGCAGAACATCAGAATCAGTCTTCTTTAATGATTGATTTATGTTTTTCAGATGTTGTCTTACCATGCTACTTGCTCCAAAGTGGAAGTTGACAGACTTAAGGTAATTTTCAGTTTAAATTACCAGAGTGCATACATGATAATGATATTGTGTAGAATCTGTTAGTTATTGCAGGTTACTGTGTATTTTAAAAGCCGTGGGCTGATGTCGACCCCTTTCTGTCCACGTGACTGACAGAGCTGTCTTCTCCCCTCCTTAAGGCTGCTAAGATCCCCCTGAGCAGCGAGCTGGGCATCGACGAATTCCACTTCAACGACTTCTCTCTGGACAATGACGCAATGATCACAGCTTCGCTCAGGATGTTTCAGGAACTTGGTGTGGTCCAGAAGTTTAAGATTGACTATGAGGTGGATAATACAACAGATTGTCTTCTATCATCAAGAGTCAAAAGGATTTACGTAGTAACAAACAGAAGTTGTTCTTGTAGGTTTTGTGCCGCTGGCTTCTGACTGTGAGGAAGAACTATCGAACAGTGGCGTATCACAACTGGAGGCATGCTTTCAACGTGTCGCAGTGCATGTTTGTTATGATCACGGTAAGTTAAAAAAAAAAACTCTGATCAAAAAAATTTTTTTTTTTTTTTGTATTTAATAAATTTTTAAGGTTAAAAAAGCCTTGCAGAAGTTGGTGATGAAGTTTCCAGAGTGCTGAAAGAAAGAGCAAGGTAGAGGGACCCCTGCAGACTATAGTCCCTGTGACATCATGGTTTAAGATAAGTGGCAGAAAATAGAAAGACGGAGAGTCAAACATGAAACAAAACGTAATGAAAATAATGAAGTGATGGTGTAAAGCACTGAAGTGAACGATGAACTACCCAGGTTTCTAACAAAGTTAAATCAGGTCTCTGGATGGATAAAAAAAATTAAAAACTTGTTGAAATGTTTTGTCTTTAATCCAAAAGACTTTGTCAAGTCTCATAAATAACCCAGAATGATATGCCAAAACCACAAAAAATATTTTCCTTTCCTTTCCTTTTATTGTGTAAATGCTTGTGAAGCATTTCCACTATTGTGATCCATTTTTCTTCCATACGTATTTTGGTGCGATTCTCCTACCACAGTTTTCAAACTATTTCAACAAATCATAATCAAAACGTTCAGCTCTTTCAGGACAATCCTGATATGACTTTTGGCATTGGTGCAACTTTAGCTTTTTCAAATATTTAGCCTTTTCTACCATTTTTTCTCATAGAATATGAATTGAGCTCATTTTACAGCCTTCAAGTCTTTAGATGGGTTTACAGCCTTTTACTGCTCCTTTCACATTTTGTTCTGGTTCAGCTTCTTTCAGCTTCCTTGTGCAGATTTACTGTAAACATTTTTTTAAACGCATTTCATCTAATTTCAAATTTATATACTCCTTTCAGATTACCGGTATTTCTGCTAACTACAACATTTTTGTGCTTCTTCAAACTTCTTTCTGCTAATTTCAGCTTGTTATGTTCCTTTTAGCTTATTTCTGCTAGTTTCAGCTTTTTATACTATTTCAGCTTCTATATAGCTGTTTTATGTTAACTTGAGCTTTTTCAGCTAATTCTACATTTTTGCATACATGTCAACTTTTTAAGCCTAATTAAGCACAAAAAAGTGCTCTGTCCACTTCTATATTTTACTGTAATTTCTGCATCTTTCTGCCTTTTTAGCTACTTTTCTGCAGTTTTTTTGTGCTAATTTAAGCTTTTTTAAGAAAATTTCCACTTTTTTGCACATTTTTTGTTCTATCAGCCTAACTGGGCAAAAATGTTCTTTCTACTTTCTTCAAATTTAAGCTAATTTAAACTTCTACCTTTTCAGTTACCGTTTTATCTGTTTTCAGCTAAATTAAACTTTTTCTTGGTAATTTATGCTACTTTCAGCCTAATTAACTTATTTCTGCTAAGTTCAGCTTGTTATGTTCCTTTTAGATTTTTTCTGCTAGTTTCAGCTTTTTCTGCAGTTTCAGCTACTTTTTAGCTTCGTTTGTGCTAAATGTAGCTTTTTCTGCTAATTCCACTTTTTTTTTTTTTTTTTTTTGCTCATTTCAACTCCTTCCACTTGCTTCTGGTAGTTTAGGTTTTTGTGTGGTTTTTAAGCTATTTTTCACCTGTTTTTTGTTAACATTAGCTTTATAAATAAATAAATAAATAACTTCTAATATAACCTAAAAAGGAATGAAATAAAACAATATAAAAATAAACTTTTCTCAATAGACAATAATCAGCTTTGCTTTGTGCAGACAGCCACTTTCCAGGATGTCCTGTCAGATGCAGAGATCCTGGCGCTGATGGTTGGCTGTTTGTGCCACGACTTGGACCACCGAGGCACAAACAATGCGTTTCAAGCCAAGTGAGCCTCAGAGACCTGTGCAACCAGAAACCAGTGTTTAATGGAGCTAGAACAAATCATTTCCCCTGTTGTTCCTCTAGGACCGGCTCGGCTCTGGCTCTCCTCTACGGAACGTCAGCCACCCTGGAGCATCATCACTTCAACCATGCTGTCATGATCCTACAAAGTGAGGTCAGGACAGTTTTTATTTTTACAATCTTGTAAGTGTTGCAGTGTTTTATCTGAAATGATAAAACAAGTTTGGATGTGCAGTTTGAGGAGGATCACTTAAAAAGATTAAAGACAGATTTAAGTCAAAGTGGATTGTAATGACAGTTTATTGTAATAAATTGTATCAGTAGAATAACAGAGAGCAATACTAAAATACAATTTAGGATGAGGTATAGGACTAATGTAAATCAGGTTCAACAAATGTTATGCTATGAAGCACTGGACCAGCTCTTTACCCTCACTAGGATCCTTGAGGGTTCATGGGAGTTTGTTCATCTGGTCTACGTGTGTTTTTTGAACTTGGCGAAGGCACTCACCGGTGTTCCTCAGGGTACACTGTGGGGTGCTTTGTTAGTATGGGGTTCTGGACCCGTTGCTTCGGGTTCATTGCCGGTAGTAAGTCGGACCTCTTCAGGGTGGGAGTTGGACTCCGCCAGGGCTGCCCATCGTCACAACTCTATTCATAATGTTCTTGGACAAAATTTCTCGGTGCAGCCAGGAGGCGGAGGGATTCTGGCTTGGTGGCTTCAGGATTCCATCTCTGCTCTTTGCAGATGATGTGGTCCTGTTGGCGTCATCGTGACGTGATCTTCAACTCTCACTGGAGCGGTTTGCAGCTGAGTGTGAAGCAGCTGGGATGAGAATCAGCACCTCCAAATCTGAGGCTATGGACCTTAACTGGAAAAGGGTTTGCTCTCTTTGGAGAGAGGGTGAGGTTCTGCCTCGAGTAGAGGAGTTTGAATGTCTTGGGGTTTTATTAATGAGTGAGGGAAGAATGGAGTGGGAGATCTGACAGACAGATTGGTGCAGCATCTACATTATTGCAAACTCTGTGCTCGTCCATTGTGGTGAAGAGAGAGCTGAGCTGGACGGAGACCGTGGGGAAGACCCAGGAAACACTGGAGAGTCTATTTCTCTCAGTTGGCCTGGGAACACCTTGGAATCCTCCCAGAAGAGCTGGAAGAAGTGACTGTGGAAAGAGACGTCTGGGCTCTCTGCTCAAGCTGCTGCCCACACGACCCAACTCCAGAACAAGAGGGAGATGCTGAATGGATGGATGGATGAAAGGATGGATGGATGGATGGATGGATGGGCGATTCAACTAAATACCATCAAACTTTTAAGATCTAACAGAGGGGAATCATGTAACTCCATCCTGTTCCCTCAGATCTGCCTCATGTCTCCTTTCACCCGCCTCACCACCGTGGGGAGAAGAACATTCAGCTGCTCTGCTCTGGAACTCACTGCCCCCAGAAATTAGAAACTTGGACTCTCTCTCTCTCTTTAAGGCCAGACACAAAAGTAATGTGTTCAGGACTGCTTATCCAAGTTGATTAGAAGTTTCAACCATGCTGTCATGATCCTACAAAGTGAGGTCAGGTTTGGATGATCAGAAGTTGCAATTTTTTTAATGCAGCATTTTTGCATGCTTTAGTATTTCAATGTTTTTATATACTTATTTCATTATTTTTTATGTTTTTATTATATATATGTATATATATATATATATATATATAATATATATATGTATAAAATCAGCTGAGACGGCTGTCCAAGCTGAAGCCTATACTCTCCAAAAAAAACCTTGAGACAGTGATCCACGCCTTCATAACATCTAGGCTTGATTACTGCAATTCACTTCTGTTTGGAATCAGTCAGTCCTCCATTGCTCGTCTACAACTGGTCCAAAATGCTGCAGCCCGATTTTTAACTGGTACAGGCTATAGAGAGCACATCACGCCAGTTTTGGCCTCCCTGCACTGGCTGGCTACCCATTCACCTTCGGATCCATTTCAAAATTCTCATGTATGTTTTTAAATCACTGAACAGTTCCGCCCCATCCTATCTCACTGATCTTCTGCAGCCATATGTCCCACCGCGCTCTCTGAGGTCAGCAGACCAGATGCTTCTCTCAGTCCCAGAAACCCGTCGTAAGCTCAGAGGTGACAGGGCTTTCTCTGTTGCAGGTCCACGACTGTGGAATGAGTTGCCACTGAGTGTCCGGCAGGCTCCCACACTCTCAGTCTTTAAGTCTCGCTTGAAGACCCACTTCTATTC